AGGTATCTCCTCTATCTGGCATTGTTGCTTGTTATATAGCCTTTAGCTATGCATATGGACTCTTATGAACTTATGTTGGCCCATTTAATCTTTGATTATATTTTCCTTTTGGGTGTTTAAGGCCATACGGTTGGCCCAGATAAAGAAATTTATTTTTACTCTTAAGGTCCTTTGGGGATCTGTTCCTCAGGGGTCACATGGGCTTGGGAGGAGCACCTGGCTCCTTTCTATTACCAGTTCCACCTATGTGAAGATAAGTCAAAGGTCCTACTCGACCATGGTTGGCTTCACTTGGAAGCATGGAGGAAGTGATTCCTCTGTGTTGACCCTCCTCTTTGTAGACTGGACACTGATTCAAGTCCATCTGGTGGGGTCTCCTCGGCCTCCTTGATCAAGAAGACAGGTGACCCACCACAATTACAGGACCTTTTAAGAGATGCTCATAGCCCCCTGGAACTAGTCGACTTAGGAGGGCAAGGAGCATAAACTGTCCTTTATATCCCTCTGACCAAATTAGTATAGGCCTCAAACTGTATCTTTTAAAAATCCAAGGTTCATTCCTCCAGGCTGGTACTTTTAATTACTGTGTGTCATGTAGATAAATGTGGGCAAAGACCAATTGTTCTCAGATAAAACTTACCTAGACATATATTTCTTGGACTGATATGTCTAATTTGTCAGTAGGTTGTAGGAGTAATATGGTTCCCTCTGGTTTTCAAAACTAGCTACGCATTGTTTATCTCTCGCATTGTCTCACCCCTCCATCATGGTTTTCCCACTTAAGGTGCCCCCATTTCCTCCTTCTCCTTTAATAATACCCTTCTCCTACGTTACCTCTCTTGAGCTCCTTCTTTCCCTTTAACCTCTAGGTTCCTTGTATACCCTTCCCTCACCCCTCTCTTAAACTAACCCAATTTTTATCCATATCAGCCTTATTAAGGCCTGTTTCCTATTGTTCTTCTCTATCAGGTTCTGTCTTTTCCTTTACCTCCCTATTTCCTTTCCATTAACCTGGTTCCTGTACTTATGTCTGGATATATACTCACTTATCAGGTTTGGTTCTACGATCCACTTATGAGGAAGAACATATGTCGATTTCTTTTCTGAGTCTGTGTTACTTCACTTAGTATAGCAGCTTCTATTTCCATCCATGTACCTGCAAATTTCATGATTTCATCTTTCTTTCTTGCTGAGTAAAACTCCATCGTATATATGAACCACATTTTCATTATCCACTCGTCAATTGAGGGACACTTAGGTTGATTCCATCTCTTAGCTATTATGAAGCAACAAATAACAAACAGCAACAAACATGGATGTACAAGTGTCTCTGCAATAGGATGAGTTCTTTGGATATACGCCAAGGAGTGGTATAACTGGGTCAAATGGTAGGTTCATTTGTAGTTTTTTAAAAGCTCTCCACACTGCTTTCCATAGGGGTTGAACAAGTTTGCAGCCCCACCACCAGTGGATGAGTGTTCCCCTTTCCCCACATCCTCTCCAACATTTGGTATCATTTGTTTTCTTGGTCTTAGCCAGTCTGGCGGGTGAGATGAAATCTTAAAATGGTTTTAATTTGCATTTCCCTAATTATTAGTGACACTGAACATCTTTTAAGATGTTTCATAGCCACCTTTACTTCTTTAAAGAACTCTCTGTTCAGCTCCTTAGCCCATCTTTTAATTGGGTTGCTTCTTGTCTTGATTTTCTGTTTTTTGAGTTCGTTATATATTCTGGAT